GTTTTGACCATGACCAGCCTACCAAGGGCTGACTCCTGGCTCTGTGCTCAGAGATCACTCCTAGTGGGTTCGGGAGACCACTTTGGCCACGTGCAAGGCAAATGCTGTCACTCTGGCCCTGCTTATATATGAATTCAACAAATGTTGGATTGTGTTTGTTTTCGTCCAAACTTCAGGAAACGCTGTTCAGATGGATGAAATGCCAGCTTCTTTCGGGAAGAGGCCTTTTTTTTTTTTCTCTTTTTGGTTAAGGTAAAGGCCCTCCCGTTGATCGTCGATTTGCTCGAGCGGGCCCAGTAACGTCTCCATTGGAGACTTTGTTGTTACTGTGTCTGGCATATCGAATACTCTCGGTAGCTTGCCGGGCTCCGAGAGTATTCGATATGCCAAACACAGTAAAAACAAAGTCTCCAATGGAGACGTTACTGGGCCCGCTCGAGCAAATCGACGATCAACGGGAGGGCCTTTACCTTTACCTCTTTTTGGTTACACCTGGCAATGCTCAGGAATCATTCCAGGCAGTGCTCGGGTGACCATATGGGATGCTGGGTGGGGATTGAACCCAGATTGGCCGCATGCAAGGCAAGCGCCTTCCTCGCTGGACTACGGCTCTTGCCCAAGAGTTCTTTTCATTGACTGCCAAGGACAGTCCACGATTGTAGATGGTGATCTAGAGATTTCTGCCCCTCAGGAAGCGCACTTTCCCGGTGACACCGGGCAGTGGGGAACCCTGATTTGGTGTGATTACATCAGGGGCTCATGCCTGGGTGTGGAGCCTGAGGTAAGTGGAGGGAAGCATCATGTGACTCTTTTATTTATTTATTTATTTATTGCATCATGTGACTCTTGCACCTCTGAGGAGACAACTCAGATTTTGTTTATTATTTATTTATTTATTTATTGCACGCAGCCAACATGGCCGACCTGAGTTCGATTCCTCCGCCCCTCTCGGAGAGCCCTGCAAGCTACCGAGAGTATTCGATATGCCAGACACAGTAACAACAAAGTCTCCAATGGAGATGTTACTGGGCCCGCTCGAGCAAATCGATGATCAACGGGAGGGCCTTTACTTTACTTTACTTTATTTTTATTCATTTATTTATTTATTTTTGCTTTTTGGGTCACACCCGGCAATGCACAGGGGTTCCTCCTGGCTCTGCACTCAGGAATTACCCCCGGCGGTGCTCAGGGGACCATATAGGATGCTGGGAATCGAACCCGGGTTGGCCACATGTAAGGCAAACGCCCTACCTGCTGTGCTATTGCTCCAGCCCCTTTTATTTTTTTATTTTTTGCTTTTTGGATCACACCCAGTGATGCTCAGGTGATGCTCAGGGGTTCCTCCTGGCTCTGCACTCAGGAATCACTCCTGGCGGTGCTTGGGGGACCATCTGGGATGCTGGGAATTGAACTCGGGTCGGCCGCGTGCAAGGCAAACGCCCTACTCAGCCACAACTCAGATTCTGAACAGAGCCAAGTCTGCCTGCTCGCATCCCCGCCCCCTGCCCGTCTCCCCTCTCCCCAGCCACACTCCCCAGCTTTCCTGTCAGCGAAGCCACAGGGCAGGCCTGTCAATCAAAAGCAAACACTCTTCCTGGGAGGCTTGTGGCCCTGTTGCTTCTCTAACGCCAAGGGAGAGTATTTGACAAGTTGTTTTTCTGGGGGGCCAGAAGGAATCTCACCTAGCAGAGGTAGAGGGGAGTGGTTGAATGGGGCCCCCCTAATCCCTCTTCCACTTTGTGTCTCAAAAGGCCAGGAAATACGTGTTTGAAAGGGAAATGTCCAATGTACTTTCACTAATTGAAAAAAAAAAGTTATTCCATTTGAGTGGAGTGAGGTGATTTCTTCACTGAACTCAGAGGCCACTGTGCTCTTCTGGATGTAGGACATATTCTGGATGTCTTGCCTTTTTGAGCTTTCTCCAATTCCTAGTACGCTCAGGAGCCGGATGGCTGGCATGGAAGATACCTCTTCATGCTCTGTATTTTAATTTTTGCAGCGCCAGGATTGCATGCAAGGCCTCCACCCCCTACGCTGATCTCTGGCCTGACCCTTGATGACTTTTTTCCACTATACTTGGCATTTCTCAGACCATGCATGGCTCTGTGCTTTGTACTTGGGGCCTTGCCTGGCAGTGAGATTATATGCGATGCTGGGGATCAGAGCCAGGTTCACTGCTATGACTGCATGCAAACCGAGTGCTGTAACTTTGTATCTGTTTGTTTTTGTTTTTGGGTCACACCCAGAGATGCTCCTGGATTTACATTCATTACACTCAGGAATTACCCCTGGAGGTACTTGGGGGACCATATGGGATGCCGGGGATTAAACCTGGGTCACTGCACGCAAGGCAAATGCCCTCCCTACTGTGCTATCGCTCTAGTCCTTGCTCTCTGTACTCTCTCTCCAGCTCAGCTTTCTTTCTTTCTTTTTTTTTTTCATTTTGGGTCACACCCAGTGATGCTCAGGGGTTACTCCTGGCTCTGCACTCAGGAATTACTCCTGGCGGTGCTCGCCCCCATTACTCCTATGGGATGCTGGGAATCGAACCTGGGTCGACCACTATGCAAGGCAAACGCCCTCCCCTCTGTGCCATCACTCTGGTCCCTGATGTATTTATTTCCAGTAGGGGCGGGAGGATCACACTGCCCTGTGATGGGTCTTCCTTCCTGCTAGCCCTGGGCTGGGTCGCTTGGCCCTGGAGCCCTCTCTGCTCGCCTGCTGGCCCTGGGTTTTTATTTCTCTCTTGGCTGCTGTGTTTGGATGTCGCCACCTGCTTTGCTCGGCTGGGGATGAGACTGTCTCTCTCGCTAATCCTGTTTGCCCCCGGCCAGCACGTTTCTCTCATGTTCAGTAAGTGCCGTGGGCTTCGGTCTCTTAAAAGCCTGGGGGCCGTCCCCACTAATGGATGGTGAAAAGCTTCCTTGGCTCCTTGTCTGCGAGGGGCCTTGGAGTCAGGCACAGACCAAATGCAGCCCACCCACCGTGGGCAGCCACCCAGCCTCCCGCCTGGCCCCACACCCTCTTCCCAGCCCTTGCCCAGGGCAAAGGGGAGTCTCCCACACAGCGGGGGGGGGGGGGGGGTGGGAGTTTCGCCAGATGGCCTTTGGCACCGGATGGGAAAGTGGACATGCCGGTGTTTCTAGGCAGGCCGGACTCTCTGCTCCTGACCAGCGGTGGGGGTCAGCTGTGTCCCGCTTATGTACTCGTTGGACTGTCTAGAAGGGCACTTCTGAGCCGGTGACCTCAGTATCCCCCAGTGTCCCTCCTCCCGCAACACTGGGCAGTGCCTGCACCTTGACTGTTCCCATCTCCCATGAGGCTGGACAGCGTCCCCCCTCTCCTAAGGGGCCAGACAGTGTCCCCCCCACCCCCAGCAGCCCCTCATCTCCCTGCATTTCCCTGTGTGGGTTGCAGTGAGTCAACAGGTGACGTGGCTCCCCGAGTGGTCCTGTGTGCAGAACTTTCTTCTTCTTTTTTTTTTTTTTTTGCTTTTTGGGTCACACCTGACCATGCTCAGGAGTTCCTCCTGGCTCTGCACTCAGGAATTACTCCTGGCGATGCTCGGGGGACCATATGGGATGCCAGGGATCGAACCTGGGTTGGCTGCATGCAAGGCAAACACCCTATCCGCTGTGCTATCGCTCCAGCCCCTGTGTGGAGAAACTTTCAGCCTGCTTCACTCCTTCCTCATGCAGCGACATCCCCTCTCTCTTCCTCTCTCTGTCCCTCTCCCTCCTTCTCCCTGTCCCTGTCTCTCCCCTCCCTCCATCTCTCCATCACTTTCTCTTTCTCTCCCCCTCTCCGTCTCTCTCTTTTCCTCTCTCTCTGGTTCTTGGGTCACACCCAGCAGTGCTCAGGGCTGACTCCTGGCTCTGTGCCCAGGGATCCCTCCAGGGGGAACTGAGCCGAGGTCCGCTGTGTTGCAGGGCTAGCACCCTCCCCGCTATCCTAGGGCCGAGGCCCTCACCCTGCGTCTTTCTTCGCCCGTGAGAGGCTCTTTGCCAGTCTTGGCTGTTGGAGCCAGCCCCACGTGGCCAGAATGGCAAGCTCATCGTCCAGGGCACGGGGTGGTGGTGGTTGGCAGGGCCCCGAGTTCCACGGCATCATCGATACTGCGGGCTGCAGCCTTTCTCGGGGCGCCTCACCCCTGCGTGTTGCTTTCACGGGCACGGATCTGCCAGCTGAGGCCGGGGGCGAAGGGGCAGAGCCAAGTGAGAGGGGCTCAGGTAGTTCTGGAGGGGACTCTGCTTTACTTCCCGTGGGGGCGGGCAGCCTTGAAGCCGCCCAGGCCGAGTAAATGAGGGGACTGGACCGGGGTGGGGTGGGGTGGTGAGCACTGAGGTGCTGAGCTGGAGTGGGTGCGGGGAATGCCCGGGGATTGATTTCCGACCTCGTCGCTTTATCCCCCGGTTGTGCTGGAACACAGCGGCTGTGTAAGTTAGGCTGTTCTTGCTTGTGAATATGGAAGGATTCATGTTACCCGAATGGGCATTTTATTTTTATTTATTTATTTATTTGCTTTTTGGGTCACACCCGGCGATTCACAGGGGTTACTCCTGGCTCTGCACTCAGGAATCACTCCTGGCAGTGCTCAGGGGACCATATGGGATGCTGGGAATCGAACCCGGGTCAGCCACGTGCAAGGCAAACGCCCTACCTGCTGTGCTGTCGCTCCGGCCCCAACCGAACGGGCATTTTATTCTGTAATTTTGGGCTCAGGGGGCTTCCCAAGCAGTGCTCCAGGGGCCTGGAGTCCTCTGGTGATGCTTAGACAACTGGGCTGGATGGTCAGTGTCGGTCCTGGTGATGCGATGGTGCTGGAGGCCCCTAGGACCCCCCACTCCCACCCCACCATTCGTGCTTAGGGGCCACATCCAGTTAGCGGCCCCTGGAATGTAAGCCTCACCGCCACCCCCAGGCCCCTCTTGGGCGTTTAGGGAAGGGCGAGCAGCTGACCTCAGTGCCCAGCACGGTCTCTTGGTCTCTCCCCGATGCAGGAGCTCCGGGAGCCTCTCCGGCAGTGGCTGGAGGGACGCATGGACGCCGAGGGGGCCATCAAGTCCAGGCAGCTCACCCTGAAGTTCGTTTCCGCTCTCACCCCGGAGCTGGAGGTCACCCCGTCCATGCTCCCTGTGGTCACAGACGCGGAAGCCTTCTCGTCGGAGGTCTTTGACTTGGACACCTACCGGCGGAACCTGAGCACGGAGTGCCTGGGGCGGAGCATCCTGTTTGCCGAGGTGACGACCACCACCATGAGTCTGCTGGATGGGTGAGTATGAGTATGGGTACTGCGTGGGCCAGGGATGGGGGGGTCGTCGCATCCAGCCTGCCCCCCAGAGCTGGGGGCCAGGGAATCTGGTTCCAGCGCCTGAAGCAAGACCCTGAGCTCTCAATGCAAGGGGCTGAGTGAATTCACTGTGTGGGGGGATGAGTGGGTTCTCGTTGCGGGGGGCTGAGTGAATTCTCGATATGGGGGGCTGAGTGACTTTCCGAGTGAGTGAGTTCTCGGAGTGTTTCTTTCCTGCCAGCAACTCTTTTTTTTTTTTTTTTTGGGTCACACCTGGCGATGCTCAGGAGTTACTCCTGGCTCTGCACTTAGAAATCACTCCTGGTAGTGCTCGGGGGACCATATGGGATGCTGGAAATTGAACCCGCATCAGCTACGTGCAAGGCAAACGCCCTACCCGTTATGCTATCGCTGCTCCAGCCCTACCAACAACTCTTTTTCTTTTGTTGTTGTCATATTTCGGGCTACATCCAGCGATGCTCAGGGTTTACTCCTGGCTCCGAACTCAGGGATGGCTCCTGGCGATGCTCAGGGGACCATATGTGATGCTGGACACTGAGCTTGGGTCCGAGCAAGGCAGCACCCTCCTGCTGTACTGGTGATGTGGACAGTCCTTCCCTAGGGGCACTTGGGACTGGCCAGTGCCTCGCTTTCTTGCTCTTACAGTCCCATCCCTGAGATGAACCTGGCTCGGGGGGCCCTGGGCAGGCAGGTTTGCGGGGTGTGGATGCTGGGGTAAGTAGAATGAATGGGAGTTTAGTGCGCTGATGTCCAGCCAGGTTTGCTCCATCTGAGGCCTTCCAGGGGCACCCATCACCCTGTGCCTGTGTGGACACGACCCCCCCTCTTGCTTCTTCCATCTTGTGCTTTTTTTTTTTTTTCGCTTTTTGGGTCACACCCGGCAATGCACAGGGGTTCACTCTGGCTCTACACTCAGGAGTTACTCCTGGCGGTGCTCAGGGGACCCTATGGGATGCTGGGGATCGAACTCAGGTTGGCCGCGTGCAAGGCAAACACCCTACCCACTGTGCTATGGCTCCAGCCCCTTGTCTTGTGTATTTTTTTTTTTTTTTGGCTTTTGAGTCACACCTGGCTTTGCACAGGGGTTACTCCTGGCTCTGTACTCAGGAATCACTCCTGGCGGTGCTCAGGGGACCATATGGGATGCTGGGAATCGAACTCGGGTAGAGCCTGGCAAGCTACCTGTGGCATATCCAATATGCCAAAAACAGTAACAATAACGGGCCTCATTCACCTGACCCTGAAAGAGCCCCCAATACATCACTGGGCTATGCTAGCATGTGACAGGGATGAATGGAGATGTTACTGGTGCCCGCTCGAGCAAATCGATGAACGGTGGGATGACAAGTGACAAGTGATTATTTTTTTATCCTCGTGAGATATAGTTATAAAGCTTCCCTGTTTGAGTTTCAGTCATAAAACGATTGATTACCCAACCCTCCACCTGTGCACATCTCCCACCACCAAGGTCTTCAGTATTCCCCCACCCCACCCTTCCCCGTGTCTCTATGACAGACACTCTCTCCCATACTCTCTTTTATATTGCTTGTTTTGAATAGCATAAGATGTCGTAGCCGTGCTCTCCTGGAATTCTAAAATTTTAGATAATTAGAGTCCGGAGAAATCTCTGCCATTGGAGATTCTTTTGTGTGTCTCTGGATTATGGCCATTAAGGAGTTTAAGTAGCAGCCGGAGGCAGTTTGTGGGCGTGACCTCCAGGGTCCCATGTGGTCAGGGGGATGAGAAGGACTGGACCATCCCCTATTCCTTGAGGTCTGGAGTTTGTCGTCACTGAACCTGCGTACCTGCACTTCTCATTGGGTTCTGGAAGTTGGCGGCCGCCGGGGTTCTTAGGGGGTAGGTGGAAGGACGCACTCCGGTGAAGTCGGCCTGGCTTAAAATCTGGTGGCATCTCTGCAGTGACATGCTGCTTTTCTGAGTGAGACGTCCAGCCTCCTTGACCAGACTTGGAGGAGAGATGAGACTGGAAACAGAGACTTTGACGTTCAGACTGTTCCCATTGCTCTGGGCGGGGGGGCTGTGAGCGGGGATTCTCCCTGATGACCTGGAAACTCTTTGAGCTTGTAGGGGGCCAGATGGGGGTGGGACAGTGGCTGGGGCCTGGGGGCACTTCAGCATGGCAGTCAACAGCCAGCACAGGACTCTGACGATCTTGAAGGCCAAGACGTCCCTTTGCTTCCTGAGCTGATCTGTATTTCACATAAAGCAATTTGTGTTTCTTTGGGGGCCACACTGGGAGTGTTCAGGCCTTAATCCTGGCTCTGTGCTCAGAGGTCACTCCTGGTGGTGCTTGGCCAGTGATGATGGGGGGGGGTCTCCTGTGTGGTGCCAGGAATTGAGCCTGATCTGCTGTTCTTCCTCTCGGGTCCCAGCTACGGCATTTCTGTCCTAACTGATGAGGGATTGAGTATCCCAGCGACAGCACCTGTTAGCTGAACTGCCAGCGAGTGAAGTCAGACCCTCCTGTGAAATCGAGAATTTTTGTCTGTGCAAAAAAGAGTATTGCCGAGAACCACCTCTCATCCTTCCCAGGCCCCTCCAGTAGGGAGACAGAGAGGCAGGGAGATGGGGACCACAGCCTGATGGTAAAAATGACCCGTTTAATGCAGAGCTGCTAACATACTTATAGAGCGTCTGAAGCGGGTTGAGATAAGGACATAGGTGTGATTGAACATTTACATAGAAAAAAACATCTGGAAATCTACATAGAGCACTTACATAGATAAAACATAGGAATTTCTCTTGGGGAGATCAACTCTAGGAAACACTGTCTCTCAGGGACATCTACATTGCTTTTGTCTTTCCCTCTAGTTGTATATGTTAAACAATTAAGTTTACTTCTTATCAATACTTGCAGTTGTTTGGATAAACACAGTAAGAAACAAAGATCCCAACACTTAGTTCTCTGGGCAAGGCTTTTACCATAAATCCCAGACTATGTCTCCTCAGACCAGTTCAGCTTATCTTTCCCATGGGGATCCTGTCTCTTAAGTCGTAACAGCTTGCACCAAGACCATGCATTTGTGCTTTCTAGACTGTCCCACTTCGATGCTGGGGTAGTTTTGCCATTTGCCCTGGGTGCATCCCAGTCCCACAGCGGGACCTCCCTTTTGGGGTGTTGGGAACTACAACAACTGAAGCCTGAGTCAAGTAATTATGACCAGTGCCCAGGAGTAGATATATTTCAGAGTCAATCAACTCTCAGATATTAGGAGCACAGCTTTAACAGTTTTTCTATGTTTAACCCAAGAACCATTCATTGCTCTGTAGTAAAAATATAAAAAGGCTACGGGGGAAATAGAAAAGCAGGTACAAATACACACCACTTGAAATACAAAGCAGTACAAATACAAAGTTCAGAATTAGCAGAAGTTTTGGCTTGTAAGTAATCAAGACTGACTTGGGGAACTGTGACAATGAGAGGTAAAACACAACGGAAAGGTTAAAGATAGACTTAAACTAAATTAGGCATGCTAGCAAGGGCACAGTAGTAAGCTTCTCTGGGAGGAGGAAAAGGGGCAATTCACTGATGAAGCCTAAAGCACTTAGGGTCAATATTCAACGTCACTGTGACCGTGACCGAGGTGGGTCCAGATGGTCTCATGCATAGACTTGGTTTGGTTACGGCCTTGTTTGGTGGTCTTGTTCACTAGCTCACCTTTGAGGGGGAGTGGGGTGGAGCCAGGGTGATCGCACATACCTGTGTATGAGTCAGGGCGGGGGTCACAGCAGAGAGCCAACCCATACCCCCACGCTTGCCAGGCAGGAGATGGCGGCTGTGACAGGCACAAAGACCTCAGGTGCTGACCAGGGAAGGCACCAGTGTTTATGCCACTCATGGTTGCCTTTGGGGACTGCTCAGCGGGTGCTCTTGTACCAAATCCAGGTCAAGCTGCTCAGGGGGTGAGCGTGAGGAGTGAGCTGAGTGATCGCAGGTGGGGCTGGGGCCTGGAGCCTCTTTCAGGAGAAGGACCCTGAAAGCTTGTCTTGGTGCCAGGAGCATCCGCAAAGGGACCTGAGATGCTTCAGTAAAACATTTGGCTTAAAAGTCCAATGTGGGGCAGAAATAATTGTACAGTGGGGAGGGCACTTGCTTTGCATGCGGCTGATCTGGGTTCGATCCCTGACATCCCCTATGGTCCCCTGAGCACCGCCAGGAGTGATTCCTGAGTGAAAGAGCCAGGAGTAACCCTTGAGCATTGCTGAGTGTGACCCAAAAAGCCAAAAAAAAAAAAGTCAAATGTGGGCTGGAGTGACAATATACCACAGGGTTCCCCGAGCATCGTCAGGAATGATTCCTGAGCATTGCCGGGTGTGACCCAGAAAACTGAAACAGCAAAAAAGTAAGTCAAACTTCAATACTTCAGTAATACTTTTAATACTTCAGTTATACTTCAGTAGTACTTGAAGTCCGTACTTCTGTGAGATGTTTGGCTTCAGCCTTTGACTTCAGTGAGCCCTGAAGGTAAAACACAAAGGAAAGGTTAAAGATAGACTTAAACTAAATTAGGGATGCTAGGAAGGGCACAGTAAGCTTCTTTTTTTCTTTTTTCTTTTTTTTCCCCTTGGTCTAAGAAGACCCAAGCAGGGCAGCAGGAAAGAGCTGGGGAGAGACACACAGGCATCGTCCCACTCATGAATCCAGTCCCCGAGGAGTTTCAGGCCTGAGCCCCTGCTTCCCAGGAGGGCGAGCGAGACCACCCCTCAGGGCGTGCAGAAATGGTGAAACAGTCCCCTCAGGGGTAGTTGTGTGTGTGGGGGGGCTAGCTCAGGTGCTGGTAGATGCCCAGAGGGGCGCAGAGTGAGGTTTTCCCCTGAGAAGGGGGTCGTTGGTCAGACAAACGTGGGGAACCTCTGGCTTAAGCCTTCTGAAAAGCAGTGGCAAAAATCCACGTGCCTGGGTGATGTTTTCCAGAAGGTTCCCCGGGGCTGGTCCTCCT